GCCACCGCCGCCGCCGCCGCGGGCGGCCCGGGCCCCTCCCCATCAAACCCGCAGCCGCCGCCCATGCCGCGCGCCCGCGCGCGCCGCCGGCTGCGGGCGCGCCGCGGTACCTGGGACCCCTCCAACGCGTCACCCACGGCGCCGCGGGCCGCGGCTGTACGCGCGGCGGCTGCTTGGAGGGACGCGACGAGCTCAGCCGTCGGGGAGTCTGGGGGCTCCTCCTCTGAGTCTGGTTGTGAGATGTTGGGCATTTTGGGGGGAATGGGAGTTTGGGGTCAAGACGGGACAGGCTTTGCGTGCGAAGCAGGGGTCTGGGGGAGGTCCAGGCGTCAGATTCCGTTTTTGAACCCTGAACCCTGATGGGTGGGCAGAGGACCGACCCCGGCAGCCCCGGCCTGACACGGTGCGCGCGGCTAGAGCAGGGGCACACCCGGCCCAGCGGGATGGCCACGCAGCAACGGAGCGGCCGGCGCCAGAGAGGAGGATTTGCAGCAAGGCTTGCGGCACAAAAGTGCAAGCGGCCTAGCCACAAGGGTACCACCAGTGGGGGCTGTGGGCCCATGGGCACCTGCTGGCCTCCGCATTGCGACGCGTCAGCGCCACCTCACCTTCTTGCAGCTGCCGCCAGCGCTTGAGGCGCTCCTGGGTGGTGGCGCCCTCCCCGCAGGCGTCAAAGGTCCGCCGCATCGCGCAGAGCCTGTCCACCTTTGAGAGTGTTGGTATGTGGGGGATGCAGGGGTGTGTGTGTGTGTGTGCGCATGTGCATGCATGCGTGCGTGCGTGCGTGTGTGTGTGTGTGTGTGTGTGTGTGTTAAATCATTTGGAAAATGGTCTTGGGGAATGGTATGGGGCGTGCAGGTCCACAACACAAAAAGGTTCAAGAGCAGGGGTCGTTATGAACCCCGCCCGCCAGGGCTTGAAGGAGCACTCAAAGGGTCCGGATGATGTCACCTGACGTCACCTGCTGATGCACCAAGTCCCCCATCCACGTCCCCCACCCTGGCAGAGACTGCCAAGCACCCAATTGAGCAACGTAGGCAAGCACTTCGCCCTCTGATCCAATGCGACACAGAACCGGGGCACCACAGGATATACGGGACGCCCAGGTCAGCAGGCCTCCCGCCCGCTCCCCCCTTCCCCCCCTCCGCACCTCAGCCCCCACCTGCGCATTGTGGTAGTCTCGCAGGTCGTGCGCGTGCGCGGTGCGCTGCAGCAGCCGCGCGGCGGCGCGGTGGCGCGCGACGCGCGGGTTGCACTCGCCTGGGGTCGCCGGCGGCGGGAGGGGCGGACGGCGCGGGAGGAAGGAGCGAGGCACGGTTTAAAAGGGCAAGCACTGACGCCCCTGGAAAAGGCCGGTAGCGGGATTGTGCGAAATGGGTGCAACATGCCGGTGGCAACACATCATGCATGATAGCCCGCCGTGGCACAGCCGGGGGCCGGCCCCGCTCAGTTGGTTGCGGCAGTGGGCGCGAACGGAATTCTCAGCCCCAGCGGCCGCGCCTGCTCACCTGCCACCATGTCCCTCCAGAGGGCGGCGGCCGGGTTGCCAAAGACAAAATTGCCCTCGCCACTCAGGAGGCGATCCAGCCATCCCCCTGGCTGCTCTTCTGGATGTGCGGTTGGCTGTTGCTGCTGCTGCTGCTGCTGCTGCTGCTGCTGCTGGTGATGGGTCTCTGCTTGCTGCTGTTGCTGTTCCTGCTGCTGCTGCTGCTGCTGCTGCTGTGGTTGCTGCCGCTCCTGCTCCTGCTGCTGCTGTGCCCTGGCATCCGCCCCTCCCTCCCCTGCCCCGCCGTCTTCCCGCTTGACCACGCCGCCGGCGGCCGCGCCTCCACCACTCCCCGCGGCGCTCCCTCCGCCGCCGCCGCCGCCGTCGGCGCGCGCCGCCGCCGCGCCCGCGCCGCCCCACGGCAGCAGGCGCCGCAGCTGCCCGCGCTCTTCCTCAGACAAGCACCTCCGCCAGGTGTCCAGGTTCAGGATCTCGGACAGGCTGGAGATCTTGAAGATCTCCGTCGGCAGCTGCATCCGCAGGCCGCCGGCCTGCACCTCCTCGTATTCCACCCCGGGCTCCTTGGGTACCCGAAGCTCTGCAGCAAGAAACGCGGAGGTTGAGGTGCTCAGTCATTACTTTGGTGTTCGTGTGTGTGCGGATGTGTGCGGGTGCATGTGTGTGTATTTGTGTGTGTGCGTGCGAGCTGGCGCGACGTTGGACAGCAGGCATGTCTTATGGTGTGGACTTCGAGTGTAATGTGAGAAGCAAAGCAGGAGCTCCCTTCGGATTTGCGCTGGTAGGCCAAAGCGCAGAAATCAACTGCCTTGCATTTGGGAGCCTCCCAAATGAGGGCGGAGGGCGGAAGGCACGCGCGTCGCCGGCGTGTGCGTCCCTCACCCGTGGCGTTGACAGGC